AGCAAAGCACTGGAACACAACTAATTTCTTTAAAACTGTAACACACACATATACACATACACTTTCTTAAGGAAAACTTGAATCTACATATCAAAATGCCCATAATACTCTAATAAAACTGTTAACCTTTAAAAGAAATGCAAATATATATATATATATATATATATATATATATATATATATAGACCTCTACATATATATATAGACCTCTAAATAGAAAATCTAAATTACTTATGAGGAAAGAGAATTAAGCTGATCTCAGACACGTGGCAGCCAATATGAAAGCAAGAGAAGAATGGAGAACTAGTAGGGGGCTATTGTTAAGAAAAAATATGTATTCATCCAGAGGAATATGATGCTGGTGCAGAGAAGAATAAGAAAGGCACTGTGTTCAAGTGATATTCAAACTATATTTTAGGTCAAAAATGCAAATTACAGAATGGCATCTTTATTATGCCACATTTTGCAAAACAATAATGGTGAAAAAAATAATGCCCACATTTGCTTACTTTTATAGAGAGAAATAATGAAAAGGCAAACCCTAAAACAGAAATAATTCCAGAACTGAGTAATTAAGGATAGATACATAACCTCTGTAAGTATAATATTTAATATAGTTTTGACATTTGAATTATGTCAATGTTTCACAGATTGCCAGATTAAATTCAATGTAAAAAATCTTTAGTCTTTAAATTTAACAAAAAATAAATGAACTGAACTGAACAGTAGATCAGTAACATAACCATAAAGATAAAGGTTTCAAATTACTTCTAATATATGTCTTCAATGGAATATACTTTAAGAAACAAAGAAAGTATGAAAGTGTTAGTTGCTCGGTCGGGTCCAACTCTGCAACCCCACAGACCATAGCCCACCAGGCTTCTCTGTCCATGGAATTCTCCAGGCACTGGAGTGGGTTGCCATTTCCTTCTCCAGGGGATCTTCCCCACCCAGGAACTGAACCCAGGTCTCCTGCATTGCAGGCAGATTCTTTATCATCTGAGTCACCAGAGAAGCCCAACAAAAGGATTGCAAATAAATATTAAACTTCACTCAGTAGTTCTATTTTTAGTGATGATAATGGCACTGTAACTTTGACAGTATTTTCTGCAGATTGTAAGCTACATAAGTGAGTAAATATGCTAAAGATATTATGCATCTAGATTTTCAACATAAAACTAAATAGATAAAAATGGGAAATCAGAAAATTTAGCAAAACTCTGCTCTAATGTTAATGTTTTTGGAAATATGATTTCATAATTTACTTTATAAAATGTATATTTTGCCTAGTTGTGTCACTGAAGCAGCCTAGAAGTAATGACACCTGCAGCAATAAACACCACTGGTGTCCAGAACCTGAGTTTAAATACCATTCACCTCTAAGAAGAACCAGTGTTCCTTAGACAGGGGCAAATTTCAAATGTGCAGCAAGGTAAGTTGAGCAAATTCAAAGATGGATGGGGTCATGTAAAAAGGACAAGCCCTTGACATGGGGGCTCACAGGCAGAGACTTCAAAAGTCAAAGTGAAAGTGTACGTCACTTTGTCGTGTCCGACTCTTTGTTACCCCATGGACTATTCAGCCCATGGAATTCTCCAGGCCAGAATACTGGAGTGGGTAGCCTTTCCCTTCTCCAGGGGATCTTCCCAACCCAGGGATTGAACCCAGGTGTCCTGCATTGCAGGCGGATTCTTTACCAGCTGAGCCACAAGGGAAGCCCTCCCCCCCCCCAAATATAACTCTAAGTGAGTATCACATGTTGAACAAACACAAATTTATTAATCTCAAAAATATGAATGGGGGAGAACTCATTATTTACTATTTTTAAAAGCAACTATTCTATTAACTCTACTCACTAAAGAATAAAGACTGATTGGAAAGAGCTAATTTCTTCCTCAAAACTTGGAACTGTCCACAAGACAAAGCTGCCCTTCACTTAGTAATCTCAACTAATACATAGAGAAACAATGAACCATTTTGCAACTCCCCAGAACAGTTGTTGACTCAGGCAGGCATCACCAATGGGTGCTAAATACCACAGATGAATGGCTGTCACCACCTTAACCAAGTGATTAAATTTAGCATCACTAATAACACATCAGCCTGACAGGAGGCACCTCTTGATGGACTAAAATGTCAAGAGTGTAACTTGACACATGAGGGGTTCTTGCTAAAAATAACGGCCCCAAATGCAGACCCGACCTTCCGCTCACTGGGACCGGGAAAGCCAGGGAAGCAAGGGTCATTTAATCAAGTGGTGTCAGGAGAAAACCATCAGACACATTTAGTGTGTGAGACATGAGAACATCATCGCCTCTTCTTCTTACAAAGTCAAGAACGACTTCAGGGAGGAAGGAGTTACTTTGAGCTTAAAAGACAAAGGAGGCACGCCAGTGTAATGAATGCACAGCCTTTGAGATGATAAAAACCAGTTCTAAAATATTTTGGAAAAAATGTAGGATATGTGCTTATGATCTGGGATAAATTGATATTACAGAATTTTTTAAGATTTTATCTGAGATGATAATGTGACTTTTGCTATGTGCATGGGTATGTGTAATTTAGCAAAAAATTATCTATCACCTATCTATCATTTTATTTTCCTATCTGGATAAAGACACAAACTAAGGCATAGAGAGACTGAAAAATAAAAAGATAAATGTTTAAAATGTGCCAAAATGTTAATTTTTGAATCTAGGTGATTATTGTAGTAGTCTTCTGCTTTTTATGTAATTCCTACTTTTTTATAATAAAAAGAGGAATTACTTATAAAGGCTCTTTTCACCTGTGAATTGAATTTGAAGTTTAATTAAATACAGTTTTTAAAAGGTTCGGTATTACCTGAATCTCCTTTCTGGGCTTATGTAAAAATTAAGATTATTCAAATATGAAATGTAATTATATTAAAAGTTATCATGTGTGTTTCCTGAGTTAAAATGAAACTATCCTCTCTTAAAAATGTGATTATTTCACAAAATTATTTCGTGTCAATAAACACATTTCTGTGAGTACATCATAAAAACGTCATCTCAGCATGCAATAAGTCAATAATTCCCACTGCACCGAAGCACCTGGCTCTCTTTGGCCCAGCTATTTATCAAAAATACTTGCTACCTTTTTCCAGTCCGGATACAATTCCTTCCGAAAGAGTCATCTGCAAGAGTTTGCTGAACTGCACTGGATTTCTGGAATAAAAACCACCCTGTGCGTGTGTGTGTGTGTTCTTGTGCACGCACGCACGTGTGTGTCATGCGTCTGACACGGAGGGAAGGCATTTCCAGCTCCCTGGCGGTGAATGACAGGCGTGCCGGCAAGCTGGTCTCCCCGCAGTTCCCGAGACCTGTGTCTCCTCTTCCCTTTCCTCGGGGTCCCTAGTTATGGCCATGTATTCAGAAACATTTACATTTTGTAGGTGAAGGCAGCTGAGGTGCAGTGGCATAATGGAAGTGACATTAATAACATTAAATGTCATAACTCTTGACAACCTGATGCAAATGAGCACCTTACTAGCAAGGGGAGGAAAAAAAAAAAAAAAAGGTCCCTGAATATGTCTTTTCTTTAAAGTACCTTGTTCAGGATTTGAAAAACTCTCCAGCCAAATGGGAAGCGGGGTATCCAATTTCGGTGACCTCAGCCCCATTCTCCCCGCACAAATTAGTTCTCTTTTTCTGGCTGTAATCATCTCAGTGTATGATGCGGAGCCGTTGTGATATTTAAAACTATGCAAATACTTCTCTTCCTTGTGCCTTTCCGGCTAGAATGTGCTCCTGCTTTGCCTTCATCTTTTATTTTTGTTCCCTTCAGCGCCGACGTGATTGACAGGCAGAGGGACCCTAGCCGGTGCCAGACCGCCCTCTTTTCCCTTGCTCAGAAACATAACAAAGGTGCTTTCAGACCTAAATGAAGCAAGTCCTAGCATCCTCCTCCCTGTTGTCACAACAGATTTAGCAGACCCCTCTGAAGCCGTTCCCAGCTTTCTCATCTCCCCCGCCTTGTCAGGGGGTTGCCATCATTTAGAAAGGTACACGGTGTTTTGAAAGGATTAGAGGATAAAACACAACTCAATCCTTCATAAAAAGAGAGGCAGGGAGCGCGGAGAGGGAGAGAAATGTCAGAGGATACACAGCGATTGGAAGAGAGCGGCGCGTACAAAGGGAACTGGCGCGCAGAGAGCACCGCTGTGGCGAGGAGGCAGAGATGACATCTGACAAATATTTACTCCTGCGGAGGAGGCGTCTGCAGTGAGGGACCTGGCAGAGGGCTGGGACGGTGTTGAAAGGAGACGGAGTGGAGCAGAACCAAGAAAAGGCGGTGGACGCTCATCCCTTCCTGTGTCAGTTCCGACCAGGAGAGAGAGGAGGAAAAGGCATCACCTGCACCAGCTGTGTAACAGGCATGGAAAGTCAGGTCATCCCTGCAGGGGCAGAGCTGAGCGGGTTCTGCGCGGAACCCGGCATGCGCAGCACTCCGCTCCCTCTCTTCTGGATCCCCTGGACGGTGGAAGGCTGAGTCCGGCATGTCTGAGGGGTTCATTCTGCCCGAGCCTTCATTTCAGAGGTGAGCGGCCAGCTGCTCTGAGAAGCTGGGTGTCAGCACACCAAGGGTTAACGTGAAGGCCAGGTTCCCAGCATCTTTGTCCTGGTCCAGACTCAGCCCTCTGAGGAACCGCAGGGCACAGCCTCGCTCCTGCCCTTGCTTCACCCTGCCCTCATCCCACCAGCATCAGAACAGATGAACACATCTCAGAATCATCATTCACAAGGCAAGTCATGCATAAAAATCCAGGGATCTTATAAACAAAACAGTCACAAACCTCTTAACAGATTTCAAAGCAATCAGGCACTGAAGACCAAAGCAAGATTTTTCCCCAAACAGTATTTATTTGGATACATTGGTATGTATTTTCAGTACTTACAAAACACAGTTTCAGGAAGGAAAGACAAAAAGGGGGATTCCTAAATAAATACGGGAAAATATCAATAGCCAATGTGTTGTTTTAGGTGCTACGGAGGCAGCATTTACTACAAACCAAAGCAAAGTTAATATTGACCAAATTAACCGAGGAGCTCAAGGAACTTCAAATTGATCTCAACTCGATGCATTTAGCATTCAGCGAGCGCTGGCCAGTGTTCTGGAACACTCTTGAGTAAACTAAGATGTTATTTAATTTGCTGCTGAGATGCATAAGTTAGTGAGTGCGTGTCTTATTTTACTGAAAAGGCTGCAAGAGGGGAGAGGAGTCAAGGGGAAACTGAACTGTTTGCATTTCGAAAGCCACTTCTAGGGGGTGACTTGGAGCTGGATCTGTCAGCGTGAATTTGTGTTTAGGTGTGTGTGTGCATAGAGATGGGCGATCTGAGACAGTGACAAGTAAGTGTGCGCAGGAGGCAGTGCAACATGGAGGGGCTGTCGTGTCACCGACAGCCCAGCAGCCGTGAGCACGTGAGCCCCAGACTGGGTTTTCTAAACGCCATTTCCACGGGGAAAAAAAATCATGGCCTCTCGGGAAAACAAACAAACAAACAACACAGACTCTAAAGCTCGGCAAGAAAAACACAAACTGAACCTGGAGTAAATAAATGCTCAGAGAAAAAGGTAGGATGTCTGAAAGACTCAAGAGCTGGCCTAAAAGGTTTTGTTTTTTTTTCCCCAAAGTCCACAACTGGATCTGGTTGAACCACTGTATTGCATTATAACCCTATGATTAAAAGTAATATTTAGGAATTCATGCTGACATACATAAATGACCAAAATTACAAATAAGAGGGGGATAAGAGAAAAAATATGCCTTATTTTCCTTTTCCAATTAATAGGGAAGGAATTTTCACCTACTATACCACCAAGGAAGTCCAAATATCTTTGAATTTCTTTGATATCTTCGGTGGAGTGTAAAGATGGACAGCTGATGGTGTCAGATTGAATGTAAGAGAGAACACTTGAGAAATAAAAATTCACCATTAGTGCATTACAGTCTTAATTGCTGCAGACAAGATTCATCGATGAAGGCCGAAATTTGTGGGATAAATTTTAAGGAAAAAGAGCATTTACACGTACTCAAATTATCTCCTCCAATATCCTTATTAACTATTTATTAACTACTGTGGCTTTAACAAAAAAGTCCCCAAATTATATGACAGTTCCTCCTGGAGGAAGAGTTTGATTCTTGGGTGTGTAGGCCGAACTGAGTGACCGAATTCTATACTCTACAGGAATGGAAAGGGAAAAACCCACGCTGACCAAGTGATCAAGGTTGACGTGTTTCAGGGAGAAGTGCACGTCATCACTGATATCCTTCCTCCGGATCTGTATCATGGTGCTGATCGTGAGGCATCCGTGTATTGATTTGCTGGGATGGCTGTAATAGCGAGCACAGATTTAATTACTTAAACAACAGAATCTATTTTCTCACAGAGTCAGAGGCTGGATGCCCATGCTCGAAGTGTTGGCAGGAGAGGTTTCTCACCTCAGTGTGCAGATGGGCCATCTGCACACCATGTCCTGACATGGTTATCGCCAGGAGTCTCTCTGAGTCCTCGCCTCCTGCTTGCTTTAAATTTATTTTTAATTGCAGGATCCATCATTGATTTATGATATTGTGTTGGTTTCTGCCGTGCATCAACATGAATCAGCCACAGGGGTACATATGTCCCCTCCCTCTTGAAGCTCCCTCCCACTTCCCACCCCACCCTACCCCACCCCTCTAGGTGGTCACAGGGCATGGGTTTGAGCTCCCCGTGTCACACGGCAGTTCCTGCTGGCTGTCTGTCTTACATACAACAGTGTATATGTTTCAGTACCACTCTCTCTATTCACCCCAGTCTCACCTTCACCCACTGTGTCTGCAAGTCTCTACATCTGTGTCTCTATTGCGGTCCTGCAAATTAGTTCATCAGTTCTATCTTTCTAGATTACATATATATGTGTTAATACATGATGTTTGTTTTTCTCTTTCTGACTTACTGCAGTCTGTATAACAGGCTCTAAGTGCATCCATCTCACTAGAATTGACTCGAATGTGTTCCTTTTCATGTCTGAGTAATATTCCATTGTCTATACATACCACAGCTTCTTTACCGATTACTCTGCTGATGGACATCTAGGTTGCAAAAACAAAACCAATGAAAGATGGAATGTAAATGAGATGCTGTCCTTAAAGTCTCGGTAAATAAAGACAGGCTTTCTTTCTCTCCTCAGACAGATGTAGGAGCCCTAGGTCACAATTCTTTTTCTGTCTCAAGTTTACATTTTAAGGAATGTTAAAAAGGAAGATAAAAGACCTGTGTTTGTGGTCCCATATGAGAGCTCTTTCCTCCCGTGAAATCTTACTGTGTTTTAATTCAATAAGTATAGGCAATCATTAAACTGGTAGTTCCAGGTAGCTCAGCAGTAAAAAAAAAAAAAATCTGCCTGCATTGCAGGAGACGCAGGTTCAATCCCTGGGTTAGGAAGATCCCTTAGAGGAGGGGATGGCAACCCACTCCAGTATTCTTACCTTGAAAAGGCCATGGGCAGAGAATCCTAGCAGGCTACAGCTCATGGGGTCTCAAAGAGTTGGACACGACTCAAGTGACTTAGCATGCACACACCTGCAAGAATGGCTTCCCCGATGGGTCAATTGGCAAAGAATCTGCACCAATACAGGAGTCTCGTGGTCAACCCCTGAGTCAGGAAAATCACCTGGAGGAGGAAATGGCAACCCACTCCAGTATTCTCGCCTGGAAAATCCCATGGACAGAGGAGCCTGGCAGGCTATAGTGCATGGGGTCACAGAGAATTGGACACATGAGTAGACACATGCACGCGCCTATAAGAATAAGGTCCAAAGATGCCCACGGGACAAGAAAGCCATCTGAATACCTCTAAAACTTACAAGATGCTGACTGCCTGGCTTGGGTTCAGCATGAACCTAAGAATTCCCTCTGCTTGGAGACAGTTCCATCAGTTACACAACTGTAAAATTATTGAATAGAGCACCTAACCTGCATGTTTGAAAGTACAGACATATATAAATATCAATCTTATCAATTTCATTTTGCATTTTGAAAAATGTTTAAACAAATGAACTGAGCTAGAACAGTTACTTAAACCTGGACACAACAGTTACAAGCTCATGGCCAAATCATAGTTTATATTTTTTCTATGGGGTTTAAATAATTCAAATACAATCTCTTGGAGTTAGGACAGATCAGTAATCAGGGAGTCAGAGTGAAATTACTTTGTGTTTTCTGCTTATTCCCAAAATGCTAATTCACAGCTCTGATGAGACAGATTAAGACTTATTTACAAAACAGAAACAGACTCACAGGCTTAGAGAAAGGATTTATGGTTATGGCGGAGCAGGGGAAGATTTGAGGGGGAGGGACTGATTGGGAGTTGACACTGACATGAACACACTGCTATATTTAAAATAGATAACAATCAAGGACTTACTATAAACAAATAAAAACAAATCAGATTTTTTAACTTAAAAAGACTTCCTCAACTCATGTTCCAGAGTTTAAAAAGACTAGAAATTGTAAATCTTTTACATACACTTATTATAACAAATGAGACTGAGACATTGCTAAGAATTTTCATTTCTTTCCCCCCAGCACAAATCTGTCTGCTGTCACAGGAAACGGTGTCTTGTTCAGAAGCATTTTCTCAGAGGTGCAGATTGTGTGACCTACAGAGCGGAGGTCAGTCCTTTGTAAACAGGTTGGAGGGGCAGCCCCTATATGTTCACTTGAGGGATGTATTTCCTCTGAGCCTAAGCAGGAAAAAGAAAAATTCCTTTATGCCTGTAGATGGCCTCATTCCAGAGGATGAAGACAGGGCTGTATAATTTAATCTCAAATAAGATGAAATGTAGACAACTTTGTGACTTGCCATTTGAGAATGTAGATTTCTCTGCCTTTGGTTGTTTATTTCATTACAAACAGAGTCTGAAATCACGTTCTCTTTTCCCTCTTCCTAGAGAAAGGAAGCTATCTGGAATACGATCCCACGTAATTTATGTGACTCCCTCTTCAAGCCACCTGGAGGAAGGATGCTTGCCTGTATCACAGATGATTACAGGGGAGGGAGCAAAGTGTTACCTAAGCAACTAGGCTTTACAAGGTGGAGGGTTTGGTGCCAAGATAGCTAGCCTGGGGACATGGCGAGGGAGTTATTGAAATCAGCTCAAGGGTTAGCAGGAGGACTCTGGAGAGGGGACACTGTCCAGAAGGAGTGCTGAAGGCAGGTGGGTCTCCATGTGCCTGGTGGCGGTAATTACCGAATGGCAGCCCCGAGCCAGCCAGGGGCATCCATCGGAGCCACAGCCACTCACTTCCCGGAACAAGCTGCAATGTCTGTTTATCATAGACTTTAATTCCCCGATGAAGGGAACAAAGGCGAGGATCAAAACAGAGCAAATTTTTTTTGACACTAGGCAGTGAAGCAAGGGACTAGCCTCCTCTCAATCCCATCTTTGTTCAAATAAACTCCCGCCTGCAACTTACTCCCATGTCAGTCAAAGCCCACACGTGAGCACCAAAACCGCCTCCCTGACTAAAGTCACGAAGAAGCAGAGCCGGACAGGGAAGTGGCACCAGGTGACCTCCCTGAGAATGGGGCCCGCGCCCTGCCATCTGAGCCAGACCCTCTGGGGGCCTTTGGGGAAGTCACCAACCCTCGGGGCTCGTAGTGTTTTGCTTCGTTTTGCTACTTGGTTGTTTGTTCATTAGCAGTCGCTGTGACCACCTCCCATGCGAGTGGGTAAAGGCTGGGCTCTTCTCTAAGAGCTAATAGTTACTTTAAAAAGGGTGCAGGGTGCTCTTCTTCTATTTTTCCGGGGTCAAACCGCGACAATGCTCTTCCAATGAATCAAATTTTGCAATCTTGGAAATTTCAGGCTTAGTCATTTTCCTTTAGAAGTATCCCGACCCAGGGATCAAACCCACATCTCTTGTGCCTCCACATTGGCAGGTGGATTCTTTAGCACTGCGCCACCTGGGAAGCCCCGACGGATCCCAGCTTCTCTGATAGTGATTACTGTGTTGGCGGAGATGCAGTGTGGGGCAAACCTCATGGCAGGTTCAATTTTGATTTGTAGGCGGAAGATGCATGAGAGAGGCTTTCCGGCTCTCACTGTCCATGTTCTGGGTCTTATGCAACACCAGCTAAAAAT